TGTTTGTATGTTGATGATATGCTTATAATGGGTACAAGTCTAGAAGTTGTTTCCAATACTAAAAAGTTTTTAATGTCTAAGTTTGACATGAAAGATATGGGAGAGGCATACGTAATGTTAGGAATTAAAATTTTGAGAACTCCAAGTAGTTTGATGTTGTCTCAAGAACACTATGTGGATAAGATACTTAGAAAGTTTAATCATTTTGATCATAAGCCTATTTCTACACCTTATGATACTAGCATTAAACTAAAGAAAAATAAAGGTGATCCTATGTGTCAAAATGATTATGCACAAATAATTAGAAGTTTAATGTATTTTATAAATTGTACAAGTCCTGATATTGCATATGTTATTGGTAGGTTAAGTAGATACACACATAACCCCAATAAAGAACATTAAAATGTTATATCTAAATTGTTGAAATACTTGAAAAAGATTGTTAATTATGGTTTATCATACAATGGATTTTCCGCTGTACTAGAAGGGTATATCGATGCTAACTGAATCTTTGATTTAGACGATATGAAATCCACAAGTGATTATGTATTCACTCTTGGTGGGGGTGCAGTGTCTTGAAAATATTCCAAGCAAACATATACAACTCGGTTTACTATGGAGTCCAAGTTTATTGTCTTAGAGAAGGCTGACACTGAGGCTGAGTGGTTAAGAAATCTCTTAGCAGATATCCCTTTATGGATGAGATCAGTTCCATCTGTGTCTATGCAATGTGATTGCCAAGTTGCAATAGCAAGGACAAAGAATAAGACCTATAATAGAAAAAATAGAAATATACGCATAAAACATAATATTGTGAGTCAACTGCTTAATGATGGGATAATATCTCTAGACTTTGTGAGGTCAGAGATGAATTTGACCGATCCTCTGACAAAACCACTAGGAAGAAAACTAGTGAGTGAGACATTGAGGGGGATGAGACTTATGCCTATACAGAAATTGCAAGTAATGGTAACCCAATTTATATGAATGAAGATCTCAAGAAGTAAGTTCATAAGGGTACTAACAAGTTATTCGATGATTTGTAATACTATCATAATTTAATTAATATTTAAAGTCCATCTTTATGGTGTTGATAGCGAATATACTGCAATATATAAAGTTGAGTTTATCTCTTAATGGATTCATAACCTAGATTAGGTAGTGTATCTAGTTGCAATATACACTTGATGGATTCACTTATATAGATATGAGAGTGGGGCTGCATCCTATGAGAGCTTGGGCAGGTTTTCTAGAGCATCTATAAATATTTAGGTAGGGTGCATGACCTATTTGCGCCAACCCGCACTAAAAAAATTTAGTTCATAAAAATTTTATATTTCACTAAATTTCTATAAGCTCTGCCTTTTTTTTCCTAAATGACGGTTCATAGTCCAAAAGACACCACCACAATGCATTAGATGCTCGTGTTTCCAAATTAAAGTTGTTATTTTATATATACGTTATATTTTGAAATATGTGGGGGTTGTTGTATTTAATATATATTTCAAAATATAATATATATTTATTTCTAACATATATATATATATGTATTGAAATATAAGTTTAAAAAATAATTTATTTAAAATTATTTTTAGACCTATTGGATAACATAAACAGTACACGTTATGGTTATCTGTCTAATTACTTATATTGCATTAATTTAATATATTACATGAGAATTGAATTTTTAAAGGCTTTAACTGTTGATTACTGACCGTTGAATATATACTGCGTTTTTCAAATTTTCAACCATTGTATCTTTTGAGAAAAGGTACTCCATCAGTATTTCTTTCCAAATAAAAGGTCAGATAATCGAGGAAGAAAAAAGGAGAAAACTAAGGAAAAAATCTAAAGGCAACACAAAGAGTTTGATCACTGGTTTCAGTTGAGCCATATAAATACACCAAATCTCTGTTACATCCCTTGATTATATTTTTTTTCCAAAATATTGCAATTTGTGATGTTGATATTTGTTTTGGGAACGATAAAAAGTTATTCGAGACACCTCTACATTTACGAGTGCACGTTTGTAGAGAAGCGATATTAGTTCTTGAAGGAAAGGACATCATAACATCTTGTACCGGGTTTCGTACTCAAAGGGACGAAAATCTATTATTAAGGATAGTGAGTACACGCCTCTATCGATAAGTTTTCTGTTTCTTGTTTATCATCTAAATTGTAATATTTTTGAACTGAAATTTTTACAATAATAATGAGGAATTAGTAAACATCAACCACTTGGTTTTTAGTCCAATGATCGTCCACAATGCACCCAAATAGGAGATCTCACGATCAAAGTTTAGGTGTTAGTTTAAAGGTCTCTTTGGATACTCATTTTTTTGTCGTTCTCTTATGTAATTTTTCTTTTGTTTCTTTCTGGGCACTTTTTCCCTCTGTAGAACGAGGATAAAATTAATACATCTAATCCACTAAAATGAAGATATATTATAATATTAATTCACTTTTAAAAAAATTTTGGTGGCTGTAGCAACAATGACCCCCAACCACTTGCTTGCCTTTAGCTTTTCTTTATGTTTAATGGGTCGGCCAAGTCGTCGAATCTTTTTCTGGTCAACTGCTCGTGTTGGGCTGAACGATAAAGAGAAATACTATATAATTCAAATTTATAATTTAAATTTATATTTAAAATAGAAGGAGATTATTGGATGAGGAACTCCATCAATATTTTTAAATGGGACCTACTGATCCAATGATCTCCTTTCATTTGGGATATAAATTTAGAATACAAATTTAAGTTACAAATTTAGATTACATAGTATTGTTCAACGACAAAACTTACAATCTTGCCAATTTTTAGTTTAATTTATTAATCAAGCTAGTCTTTAAATAAGTTATGAATTGAGTTTTTGTTGTTTTATTAATAAATTTGTTATTGTCTGTGTCTGAAGACACAAAGTAATAAAAAATGGTAAATAATAAATATATTTATATTCATATATAAAATCAAATCACAAACGTAGAGAAGATATAAATGAATTTAAACATCAGTTTGTAGTAGGGGTAAGAGGTGATGGGCGGTAGTGGTGCTGGTAGGAGACGGTGATGATTGTGGTAGGTGACAATGATCGTGGTGACAGTGGGGTCGGCAAGGGTGGCGGTGATGATGGTAGTAGTGGCAACAGGGGGCAGCGAAGGTGGTGGCGACGACGGCAGTAACGACAGTGGCGGTGGCAACTGCGACAATGGTGATGGTGGTGGTACAAACACTATTTTTTAAAAAAATATTTATGAAAAATAATTTCTATAAGTACTTTTAAAAAAATTACTTCAAACGCATCCTTAGGGACCTATTTTTTCTATTAAATTTAAGGTGTTAATATTAGTCATTAGATTAACTTTAAAGTAAAATTTAAAACGATCTCAACCGCGAATAGTAAAAATTATTTTATTTATCTTTTGTAATTTGAATTGTAAGCTACATTATTATATAAATTTTTTTTTGATTTTTTTACGAGTCATTTGAATTGATTAACCTGTTGTGTTGGGGATGAACAAAAAGGTGGCCCATCAGCCCATCCACTAGGTTAATAGGCCTCCATCGAAAATAAAAGGGTCATTTACATGTCGGTACACCTTATTAGACTTATTTGGTAAAAAGTACGTAAAACAAAATGTGAGTTAAAAAGACATAAATACTCATTTTAAGGTCATTTAATTTAAAATATCTTATTTTTAATGCAACTTGTTTCATGTGTTTTGTTAATATAAATAAATACGTATTTAATGCACCTTGATTCATATTTATTTGTTAATACATGTAACTATATATATATATATATATGTGTGTGTGTGTGTGTGTGTATACTTGTTTATATACACGTATATACGAATATATATACTTATTTATATACATACACATATTTGTTAAATCTCTTATTTAAATTTTGAATTATCTTTAATGCAGTTTGATTCATGCATTTTTTTTAAAAGTGATTTTGTTTTCAAATTATATTTAATGCACCTTGATTCAAGCATTTTTTTGTTTTTGAAAAATAGTTTTATTTTTAAATTAATTTAATATTTGAATAATGTAATAGTATAACAATAACAATGTAATAATAACAGTGTAACAAATACACTATAACAAATACACTGTAACAAAAACAGTGTTCAGTAGTTTTGTATATATGGTAACAAATTCAAAACGGAGATGAACTATTTTGAATGAAATTATATTAAATTATATGTTTGACAAAATGTAATAATACAATATTTTGTGTAAATAGCTTGTTACACTATTATTGTTATACTGTTATATTGTTAATGTTACACTTTTATTGTTACACTATTACACTATTCAAATATTAAATTAATTTAAAAATAAAATCACTTTCTAAAAAAAAATACATTAATCAAAGTGCATTAAAAGATAATTAAAAATTTAGATAAGAGATTTAACAAAAAGTATATATATATATATATATATATATATAAGTATTAAAGTTCTCCCATAAAATTAAGAGATATTTAATGCACCACTTTCTAAAGAAAAGTGGTGTATTAAATACATATGGATTAATGGAGGGTAAAAACGCCACAATAAAAATAGATAAATTCAAATTATGTATTTTGATACAAATAAATATCAAAATTAAGTATTTAATAACCCTACATTTTTTAGTGTGTACTTTTTGATAAATAAGTCTAATTTGATGTACCCCTTTACAATTTACCCAAAATAAAATAAGAAGTAATTCACAACTATCTTATTCTTTTAATGCAGGATGAATTATATAAAACTAGTTGATGAATTCGACGAAGGAAAATTTTCTTGGAAGAAATTTAGTTCTATTACTGAAAAAAACTTCACAAATGACAAGCATTGAGTTTGTATGTCTAGTTTAAATTCATACCGATAGATTTTGGTATAAATTGATAATTGAGTTTTTTGAAATGATTAAGATTAATGTTCCAGTCGTGAAAATATCAAAATTGAAAAAAGTATAGTACTAGGTTAGACACGCTTTTCATGGGAAGTTGCACGTTCCCTTTCGTGTGGGTTTTCTAAATTTGTGGGGTCCTATATATTCCATTGAGAAGGATATTAACAAAGAGAAGCTTGCGAAGTAATCCAGCCAATGTGTGAGAGTGTGCGTGAATGCTAGCATAAGCACTAGCTTATTACAAATCACACAAAAAAAATTAAATTAAATTCCTAGAAAAGTTAGCTTCTCTCCCTTCAAGACTCCTTTCAAAACTCTTGAAAGTTCCTCTTGTGCATGGAGACAAACCAGCAAGGGTAAGGTAAAGCTCCATCCGGGCAGTTACTTAAAGAAACCAAAGCTGAGAAGCTGCAAGACATGGAACACAAACCAACACAAATCAATATAAGTACACTGTTTTCGTCTTCAAAGTAGCCTACAAATGCCACAATTGTGAAAAAATGTAGAGTACTGATATAATTGAATGAGACTAAAGTTACGAACCAACGAGGTCCAAAAGATTGGAAACGATTCTAAAAAGTTGTGATCATCCCCAACTATTTAAGATTCTTAAATTCACCGCATGGGGTTATAACTTGGGTTGTTTGAGTCATACCTGAACTGATCGGGTTATATAACTTTTAGTACTGCTCGTAAATCTTAAGAAAATCCCAATAATTCTATTATAAATAAAGGGAAGCATAGTTCATGGTTTGGCCTCGAAGTACATGGCCCCTATGGCTTAATAATAGGTCATGAAATGGTGTGATCACATGTACATTTTGGCTGTTTCATGTCATTGTCTCTTAGATAGAGTCCCAAACACTATGTCAATGTATACATGATGAACTTATAAATGCATACATGAACTTCATCACTTCTCCTTTAATGAGGAGGAAATTAAAGCAGCTAATGACCTAGCCTCTCCCATCAAATAAATCACTTCTTTTCCTAATATATTAAAATGGCTCATTCCTTGACATTTACCAAGGTAGAAAAATGTTGTACAATCAAAATTTTCTACCTGAATCATGGGACAACATTAATGATATCTCTATAAATTCTTGGGTTAATTGTATTGAAGGTCTCCAAAATATGAATTTTGTCTCATTCAATGTTAAAATTGTATCATTTGGGTCCCTGAAGTATTGAATATGTTTCTATATGGTCCTTTAAGCAGACAATGTCCAGATTGCTAACGATTTTTTATAATAAATTTGTCACATAATACCTAAATATGGAGAAAAAAATAATTTTGATAGCTCTTGAACAAAATTTGGATAAATTTTGACAAAAAATATGTAATATGGGTAGCTTTTGACCAAAATTTAGATAATTTATGATCAAAATTGTATAATTTGGCTAACTATTTAACTAAAATTTAAGTAAAACTTTTGGTCAAAAATTATTCAAATAATTTTTTTGTCCATATTTAAGTATCACGTGATAAGTTTATGGTAAAAAATTGTTAGTAATTTGGACGCTATCTGCTTGAAGGACTATATAGAAACATATTGAATACTTTATGAACTAAAATGATGCAATTGAAATATGGAGGATCAAAATAAGACAAACACCATATTTTGAGGACCTCTAGTAGAATTAACCCTAAATTCTTCGGTATTAATATTATTTTTTTTGTTTTGGAATTTAAGAATATGAGCAGGTCATATTATTCTGTTAAAAAAATTATCAGATTACAGACGCAGTCAAGTTCTATAAAAAAATTGATCTATTTGGTATGTGAGTGGTGTAGATTTGTAGTCGACTATGTGAGTGTTGTATGTTTAGGATGTGAACGTCCTTTTTACATTAAAAAAAAATAACAATACAATTTAGTAGTTAGTATGAATGTTCATGCACTTGTAAGTGATAAAATAACTTTACCTGTTCTTGAGATTTTCCACTTATAGTCACCATTGACGGCCCAAAAGAAATACCCACGAAGCCCAAGGGCCTGAGCATACCCTATCTTCACCGTTACCGATCTAGGATCATCATACCCAATCCAAATACTCCCTGCAACAGAGTACGTGGACACGGTTTCCACGTCATACACCACGGTGGCATTATTAGCCCTATTGAACATCTCCACCTGGAAGAAAGTGAGTACTCCCATGTCTCCGGGACCCACATCAACGGCTGGTGCCCCCACACCATATGATCTAGGGTCCTTGAGCTGCCACGTCTTCCCGTAGAGTGGCAAGCCCATGATCAACTTACTTCTAAGGATTCCGGCCCGTATCCATGATCCAAGCCCATTACTTGTGCTGATGTTACTTTTTGGGTCAAACAGGGCTGCTTGAGCTCCGGTCGTTGAAGTGTCCCATGAACCGTGATAGTCATAACACATTGCATTGATCCAATCCAAGTTTTTATTTATTGAAGCCACCGGGTACGATCGGAACACGCCGTTCAGGGAGATGTCGGAGGCGTAGTAGACGGCGGCAGTAAGCAAGAGTGGCGGCCGGCAGGTGGCCACAGCCTCTTTTTTGACCTCTGTCCGCCATTCATCCAATAAGAGGCCCAAATTTTCCATATCTCTGGGGTTTTCAGGAAATTCCCAATCCAAATCAATCCCATCGAATCCAAATTTTCGTGCCACTTCAATTGAGGAGTCAATGAAACTCATCCTTGAGGAAGAACTTGAAGCCATGCGAGCAAACAACGATGAGCCTGCATCCCCCCCACCAACAGAAAATATAGTTTTCATGGGCGGATTCTTCATATGAAGAGTTGATGTGAAGTTTACGAGCATCATAGCCGTTGAATATGGTATGTCAAACTTAAAAGTGACATTGTTAGGTTCTAAAAATGCATAATAGATGTGAGTGAACAAAGATGTATCAATGGCCGACGATGGGAAATTCAGATTCCATGAAGGCCAATAAGCCCCCTTGACTGCTTCAGATGAAGATGATGATGCCATGGCACAAAAACTGGCAATGAAAACACAAAGAAAGAAAGATTTAAGTCCTGCCATTTTTTCTCTTGAGCTAGTCACAGCAATATCACTATGTGGTGTGGGTGAAATGTATAGAGAGAACATGAAGTCTTACTCAATAAAGTAGTAGAGTTGTTTTATATTCGGATTTGGATTGTTGTGATTGGATTCTAAGAATAAAAATAAAGGCTGAGAAGGGTTTGAAAAGTATGAAACAATGGTAGGTAAGAAAGCCATCCATTATTTAGACTTATTCAAGCTAAGATGGTGTGAGCTAATAAACTGAAAATAAAAAAAAAAAAATACTAATACTAATAATAATAATAACAATAGTGAAAAGATAGATCTAAACAGTGCCAATTGTCAAAGTGACTGCTGACTCATATTTCCAAAGAAGAGAAGAGGTTATTGGCTAAAACCAACTCCCACCAATAAAAATAAGAAGCCATTTAGATAGAATCGTGATACGCGAATGACAATTTTTAATATTACATGTTAATAACGATGTATCACGTTAATTGGGTACAAACTTGACACATAATCGATGGATTAAAATTGATTATTTTTTGATGTGAATCTAAATTTGGTACAATCGATTATATAAAATTGACATGTAATCAATGGATTAAAATTGATTGTTTTTTGACGTGAATCTAACATTGATACAATCGATTATACAAATCTAAATAATTTTGGTTAGTGTCAACACTAATAACTAGTTTTTTGACACAATAAATCCGTTTACCTTGTATAGTGTGAAAATAAATTATGAATTTTTTTTCAAAATTTTCCATTGTGGGCTTGGTATTTCATGAATTTGTACAGAATTATAAGATTTGTAAATATTTAAAGCAACTGAATTTTGCCTATGGGTGAATTAGTCTCAGCCATTCAACACAATTAATTAACCAATTTGAATTAAAGTAAATTAATACCTGATACAAACTCAAAATGAAACCACCTACTCCGACATCTTGTTTTGAAATAGTCGATAGTCATTGTTTCAAGTACGCACTATGTTTCTGGTTTAATGAGCTATCTTATCTAAGAAATCACCATAATTACTCTCTCTCTCTTTGGACTCAGTCCAGCTTCCTATTGAATGTATGAGTCCAGCTTCCTATTGAATGTTTTGAGTCCAGCTTCCTATTGAATGTATCTAAGGCACCGAATTGATCTTTTTTTATCCCCTTCCACCAGTAATACATTTGAAAATGTTAAATCTCTAAGTGGAGTTCAAATGGCCAGATGACATTTTCCTTCCATTTTTCTTACCTCATGCATGCGAGAAGAGGCCAACATTTGACTAAAGGTTGTCCAATGAGCAGTTTCTAACAACTCGATGAAAAGTCTTTGCGGAGACTCTTCAAAGTTAAGAAAGATTTCATTCGATATTTTGGAGGGTTTTTGGAAAAATCAATGTTCCTGTTTTGCTGTGACAGTGAGAGTTGACAAGATCAAGTGAAGTTGGCTAATTCCCCGGCTACTAGACATTAATTTGATGTTTTAGCGACCACAATAATTGGAGGCCGCTCTATGTCGCTATTTCCTCTTCAAGAAAAAAGAAACCAAAATTTCCACATTTCTAAACTGAAATTAATGTAGATGCAAATTACTTTCGAAGGGGATGGTTGGTGAGCTCTTTCTTGAATCCTTGAAATCCAACATAAACGATCAAAGATAGGAGATGGGGTGATCAAAACTCATCCGAGGTAACAATCGTAGGTTACCTCGGACAAAATTTAATTTTAATTTTGTGGAGTCCCAGTCCCTTCATCATGCCTTACAGGGATTGTACGAAAATATCTTTTAGCGTAGGGAGACCGGCTCCATGTTTGGTGCTGGCGAGCAACAAGAAGTCCAATTCAGATGTTCGAGTATAATTAGTTACTTACTAACAATAGTTATAAAGAACACTGAAGTTAAGACACGCATCTTAGTGTTGTCCCATATGCCAAGTAGTTCGGTCTTAAAGGGATGTAATATCGTCAGAAAAACATAAATCGATTGGATGACTTTTATCGTTAATTGTTTTGCAAGATTCGCCTTTTAGATCAGTTCCAAGTTTTTTTGTTTATTATCTTAAGCTTTGAAGGTTTGGCTAAGACAAATGATATCCCCCAACCCTAAAGGATATCTTGTGATACATGTTTTATTATTTTTGACGATTTCATTTCTCTTAAATTTGTCGTATGGTATGGTGTAAACTGCTTAATTTGCTTACATAAAACAGACAATGAATGTGAATCTTATAGTTTTGGGTCCCATGATTGTCTTACATTGCGGTACGCTAGCGAAGACTATACTTTTAACTTACAAGTGGATGTCTATGCTTATAATCTCATCATATCATGAAAAAAAAAATCTTCATAAACAGGATCCTGCACAATTTAACAAAAGTTATCCATGTTAGTATAATACTACAACGACCACCATATTACTCTCAAAATCAGTCACATTGAACTGTGTATCTTTAGATACAGATTATCCCTCGTATAATAATATATTTCGTCCATATATTCATGATCACCATTAATCTCAAAGTCCTATTGATATTATTTTGAAATTCAGTCCAAAATAACAAATTTTCCAAATTTCCTCTTCTCATAAGAATGAATTTCACGAAAACGTGACAAAATTTAACATTTTTTTTTTGTAATATTGATTGCAGAATTGTACACCGCCCTTTTTTCTGCAAACCTTTTTTTTTGAATGTCAATTTTAGAATTACATTAATGTGCACCCATATAAAATTTTCGGAAAAGCTATCCTACCATCTCTTGTTCAAATTTCGATAACACTTTATTTATCTTATTTTTCTGATTGCGGATATTCACGAAATATTAGAACCAGGATGGTAATCAGGATAAACATATATATATTTATTTTTTATTTTTATTTTTTTTGGTTTAACATTCAAGGGTATTCGGGTCAGTTTATGCGCACTTCAACTAATCTCCTCTTCTGTCTGGTTAAAGACAGGTCATCTACGCCAAAATTAGGGTATTCATGAGAAATAAATCTCTCATAACTTGGCTTTAAGGGATTGTCAAGATTTGAAATTTTGAACTCATGATGTTTGAGTTTATAGTTCATTATTGTTACCACTTAAACTACCTTGGATCAGGACAAATATTCTTGAAAATAAACAATAATGGCCAATGAAACGGAGATTATGGGCAGAACAATTCAGATAAATTATGTGATTTCTAATGATTGTGTGGATTTTGGAGGATCCTTTATTTGGTATTATGTGAATAAGATAAAGTTAAGACAATCTTGCAGCAAAAATTTTAGGATATTTATCCTTTTCACCCTCAGATTTTGCACATATTTTTACTTTGGTTGGAGGAGTTTGTTATTATATATATGTTTTTTACACTTTCTCTACATTTTTTGATAGCCGTCCATGAAATCCAACCTATGCATGTCTTTAAGGACACTTAACAAAAATGCCACATGTTATCACGACAGACTAATACATTAGATCATCGTAATATACAAGTGTTTTTGTGAAAAGTTTGATACTGATTTTTGAGTGAATTGAATTAATGCTATGTCGGAAGTTAGAGAATAAACTTGAGAGGGAAAAAAAAAATTATTTCAGGGGCAAAATTGCAAATTAGTTGAACTTTGAAGAANTAATGCTATGTCGGAAGTTAGAGAATAAACTTGAGAAGGAAAAAAAAAATTATTTCAGGGGCAAAATTGCAAATTAGTTGAACTTTGAAGAATGTGTAATTACTTGTAATTTTATGGAGTGAAACAATGTGATAATGAGATATTAATAAACATCAACCACTTGGTTTTTTGTCCAATAATCATCCACAGCGCTCCTAAATAGGAGATTTCACGATCAAATCTCAGGTGTAAGTTTAGAAGTCTTTTTTGGGTACTCATTTTTTTGTTGTTCTCTTATGTAATTTTTCTTTTGTTTCTTTCTAGGCATTTTTTCCCTACATACGACGAGGATAAAATTAATACATCAAATCCACTAAAATGAAGATATAAAATAATATTAATTCACTTTAAGAAATTTCTTGGTGGCTCTAGCAACAATGACCCCCCCCTACCCCCAACCACTTGCTTGCCTTTAGTTTTTCTTTATGTTTAATGAGTCGGGCCAGGTCCTCGAATCTTTGTCTGGTCAACGGATTGTGTTGGGCTGAACGACAAGACTTGCAATCTTGCCAGTTTTTATTTTAATTTATTAATCAGGTTAGTCTTTAAATAAGTTATGAATTGAGTTTTTGTTGTTTTATTAATTGAAGTGGAATACTTTTTTTTTTTAATAATCTTGGCGGGTCATTTGAATAGATTAACCTGTTGGGTAAGGGACGAACAAAAAGGTGGCCCATCAGCCCATCCACTAGGCAAATGGGCCTCCACTGAAAATAAAATTAGAAGTAATTCGCAACTATCTTATTCTTTTAATGCCGGATGAATTATGTAAAACTAGTTGATGAAGGAAAATTTTCTTGGAAGAAATTTAGTTCTATTACTTGAAAAAAAACTTCACAAATCACAAGGATCGAGTTTGTATGTCTAAGTTAAATTCATACCGATAAATTTTAGTATAAACTGATAATTGAGTTCTTTGAAATGATTAAGGTTAATTTTCGAGTTGCGAAAACATCAAAATTGACAAAAGTATGGTACTAGGTTAGACACGTTTTTCATGGGGGAGTTCCACGGTCCCTTGTTGTGCGTTTTCTAAATTTGTGGGGTCTTATATATTCCATTGAGAAGGACATTAACCAACCACATTTGTGATAACAAATGACCAGCTAAGACAATGTGGTAGTTTTGGATACTTGTACTCCAAAACTTAAGCATGGGCAATATGCAGTTTATTTCGGGTTTAAATTCGGATTAATTTTTAGTTTGTTTCGGGTTTTAATTTGGATCCAGGTGTTTTATTACTAGAGTTGGGTCCGACCTGAGCTCTTAACCCGCATAGCTTGTCCGAGTCCGAGTTGTACCCCAGTTCAAACTGTGTATGGTGAATGAGAGCCGTGAACCAAGTGGCATCTGTGATAACAATTGAATGGATGGAAATCAACACCTCACCAGCTAAGAAAATGTGTTGGTCTTTGGCACTTCTTCCTTCAGTTGAT